TTCTGCTCACCCTACCTCTCACTTTTTTTTTTAGCACCTTTCACCACTTACCTGTTGACTTAAATCATAACCTCTCCAGCAGTCTGTTCATTTGGTTATAAAATGAGACGCTACACACTGGAACAGTAAGCTTTTATGTTTGTGACCAAACCTCATTTTTAAAAATCTATTATGTATGTAAATTGAGTTGTTGAAACGAATATGAACCAATGAATATGAACTGCTCTGATGGTTCTAACATTTAAAACTGTATTTGTAAGTTTTTGATGAGTTCTCCATCTGGTGGCCAACTAACAGCTATTACACATTCTGTGCAGTGCTCTTGTATGATGCTGTTTTTAGTCTTGGTTTGCTTGTGTCCAGGCCTGGTCCTAACCAATTTGGCACCCTAGGCAAGATTTCAGGTAATTTTTTCAGATATCCGTCACATCGCAGTAAATTCCACTGCTAGTATATATTGTCATAAGAAACTAAATCGCTTTTTGATCGACTACTACAAGCTGGAAAAACGTCAGATAAATATGCCAATGCAATTAATGTTATTGCTGAATAGATCTAATATTTAAACATTTGCTTGAAGAAGGAATGATGGGGGTAGTTACATTATTATTACTTTTTCCCATAACATCTATGCCCTTCATAACATTAGCTGATGTTAAAGCTAACAAATAGCACTATAGCTATTTATAGATTAGCAATGTTATGCCTCATCTGTCAATGTTGGGATGTAAAAAATATGGGACAACAAATAGCTTCAAATAATAGAATACATAGCAAGCATTAGAAAATATTGAGTGTAAAATAAAGGATTTAGCCTATTAAAATCAATGACCTATACAGAAGTTAAAGCTATAAAATCTACTTCACTTTTGTATTTGCATATTAATAAAAGTTACTATAGTTATTTAGTGAAGAGCAGCAAATTAATCTCTTATTGTGTTCTGTTTGATAACAGAGGTGTCACTGTAAGAATGCACAGATCTATAATGAAAGCATTTGACCACTTTAGTAACTGTTTGTGCTCATTTAAGAGAAAATTATTTGTGTTTAAAATAAAACACGCAGGACGGAAATGTGTACATATTTTTAAGCGTATTTGTCTGTTTAAACACACCCGAATCACCAAAGCATCCCACACTCGCTCCTCTTTAAATGGTGTGTAAGCTGATCTGGGAACAGTTTATCATATGGAGCGTGTCAGTCAGTCAGCATGCACACACTGAATTATTTTCTTTTCTTTTTGATGATCGACACTCAGCTTTAATGGACAGAAAGTGAATGCAAACGTTTTTATATTTATTTTAACATCCTTTCAAGCTAAAATAAAGCAAAAGCAGAATTATCTTGATCAGCTCTTGCAGTTCTGTCACATTTGTGAACAGCTCTGTATTGATGGTACTTTCACTTTTCATATAAAGATTAAACATACAGGGGAAATATGGGAAAATTAAACGTGATAGCGGTCAAAAGAGGAGGGTTGACAGGTATGTGTCATTCTAATTGTTAATGGCGTTATCAATCATCGCTTGGATACAGCAAAATAATCTTAATCGTTGCATTACCTCTGTCTTTGTCACGTTTTTTCCTTTTTCTTTTCTTTTTCGCCTCTCCTGCACACCAGGCAGTTTGGAACATTTTGACATGTTGAGCTTGTTGACCAATCAAAAAATACATCCCTGTGTAGCAGGTAAAGTCTAAATATTCGAATGGGGGGCGGGGTGTCTTAGGTGATTAGGCTATATTATCATTATTTAATACTACTTTAATACTACTACTTAGTAGACTTTGCACTATGCAATTGAATTAATGTGGCCGTATTATTTTATAAGTCAATATACCAACTAGTTTTAGGAATAGTGAAAGTTACACTTTTTTTTTCTTCCCTCCTTTCTGGCACCCCCCTGGATGTACAGCGTCCTTAGCATTTGCCTATACTGCCAAAGGCCGGCCCTGCCCGTGCCTATAACATGGCTGCTTACAAAAGTTTTCATTTTACTGTAAAAGTATTTAATGTTGGAGAAGAGTAGGATCCAATAGTCTATAATACTTTTTATTAATTATTTATATAGCATATTGGTGTGTATTGAGGCGACACAGTGGCTAAGTGGTTAGCACCGTCGTCTCACAGCAAGTAGATCACTGGTTTAATTCCCCGCTGGGCCAGTTGGCGTTTCTGAGTGGAGTTTGCATGTTCTCCCTCGTGTGGGGTTCCTCTGGGTGCTCCAGTTTCCCCCAGTTGTGAGAGGATTTGTCTGTGTAGAATTTTATTTATGAGCTGCATTGAATTAAAAACTATTGTACAGTATGCTGCTGCTGCTCCTACTACTACTACTACTAGTAGTAGTACTACTACTAATAATAGTAATAGTAATAGTAATTAATAATAGTAATAATCACAGTAATTTATAACAGCCATATAATTGTGCATTTCTATTGTATTACTAGAACATAAAACAAAAACAAACAAAAAAAAACATTTTTAGAGGTTAAAAAAATGAAAGAGGAAGGAAACATGTCAGCCACGTTGGTAAGCAACACTCTCAAGCTGTGAAAAGGAACCAGCAAAAAAGAAGAACAACAAACTAAAAACAATCATATTCAAAAGCATGAAGCTAAGTACAAAGTTATTTTACAATGCTTTTGTGAATAATAAGAAAAAATAGTGATTTGCAAAAAGCATACAGCAAAGTACTATAAAGACTATACTTCTATAAAGAAAAAAACTAAATGCTCAGTAAGGCAAAGCAAATCACTTTGAATTAACTTGTTTTTATCTGTTTTAAAGTTCAGAAGACAAAGAAGTGATGAGAATATGCAAATAATTGCCATCATAAGAACTGAATGAATTTAAAAACTCTACACTTCCTGCAGTTTCAAAAGGCAACAGGCAGTTAGCTTTGCTAAGTTCCTGTGCAGTTACATCATCACAAGAAGGTATTTTCCCCATTATTATTGACCCATGCTATTTATCACAACTGTAATTCTTACTTACTCAACTGCTGCCAAATCACTGATGTAAAATCAACGACAGATGAACCAACAACCAATAATATTAAAAAGAGGACATTTTTCCATTATTAATGTTTATTATTTTCATTTAGTCCAATATGATATATGCTGCAACACAAAAGCTGACAGCAGCTTCGTTTGCTTCTGCGTTCATATCAAAAACCTGAGGTGCTGTATTTAACACTGTTGATGGCAAAAATATTATAGAGGATGAGTTCCTTAATTTTCTTTGGGTAAAATAAAGACTCTTGAGTAACAACATTATTCTGTTTGTTGCAAAAACATTTGACTTTGATTGGATTGAGGCCTCCATGTCTTACAACACAATGGAATATATCTCCACAGAAAGAAATTGATAACATAAAATGTAGTCTTAAAGTGATGAATGAATGTCAAGATATACCACGATCACATTATTTGGTTAAGTTGATGCTAGTGACTTTTAATAAAATTAATGTTTTAAGTTTGCTCAGAAGAATGCAGCTGCCAAGTGATCTGTAGTATGAAGCTTGCGGGACAACTAGAGTGGGGGTTTTAAAACATTGGACAGACATGATAGAGACGGACATGATTCAACAGACTTTTGGCGGTTCAAAGATGTTGACAGCAATGGTTTGAGGTGCACAGATGCTGCCATGAAGCCATTTTCAATATGTCATGAATTTTTTTACGGAATATTATTTGAACGTCAACTAGTGCTACAAGCAATATCTGTTATTAAAATGTTATTAAATATTAATGATGTTGTTAAAATTATTTGAGAGAGTAATGACAATTACAGTTTATTCCACTGAAAACGTGATCAGAAAAATATTCATGACACAATTATAATGCCTTATGACAATCATGTTTATGACAGATTTATGACAAATGATTTTGTCTTGGTAATGTCAAGCTGTCATGACAAAGATGTATGTATTGTCAGTGGCGATTGTAGTTTGTAAGAAAGTTTGTATCCTTTTAAATATTTTAGTATCAATATTTATCGATATATCGAAAGTTGACAACACTAAGTAGTAGATCATTCGGGAATTTTACGCATATAGAAAATCTGTTTACTATTTGTTGTATACATATTACACACTGCGAATATAGTACAAGTTGCCTGGTAGTATGAAATTGTGAGAAAATGAATTTATATAATCTAGTTTCATTAATTTTTTCGGCTTAGTCCCTTTATTAATTTGAGGTTGTCACAACGGAATGAACCGCCAACTTATCCAGAATATGTTTTACGCAGCGGATGCTCTTCCAGTTGCAACTCATCACTGGAAATAATCCATATACGCTCAGTTACACACATACATTACGGACGAATTAGTTAACTCAATTCACCTATATCACACATGCTCTTGGACTTGTGGGGGAAACTGGAGCACCTGGAGGAAACCCACACCAACACGGGAAGAACATACAAGCTCCACACAGAAATGTCACAACTGACCCAGCCAGGGCTCGAACCACTGACCTTCTTGCTGAGGCGATTGTGCTAGCCACTGCGCCACCATGCTGCCCTAATCTTGTTTCAAATTAACATAATTTATAAAGTTATGGCTGTAAAGTTATATTATTTGTTTTTTAAAAATGTAATTTCATTCGAAACTTTAGCAGCCTAGGTGTGAGAGACATGGCCTGCCATTTGCAGATCCCAAAGTACTGCAAATGCCTGACACTCAACCCAACCGCCATTGGGTGATGAGCAAATCATACTAAATTGTACGAATTAGATTGTACGCATTCATACAAATTAGCCACTAAATCAAAAAGTTACGAATTGCCATGAGATTGCGTTGGATATACTGCAGGAATAGTATGATACCAAAGCATTTTGAAAACAGCCAGTAAGATTCACTTTAGGTGGTTGGACTGGATGCTAACTCGTGTATTGCAATACGGATTACGTATCAAGATGAGGCATTTCTTATTTTAAATGTGTAACTTCATATTGTATAGTTGGTAATAGTATTTTAAAAAATGACAATTGACACACATTTTACATACATGTAACTTGATCTATTTATGAACAGGTGGTTTGCCACGTTGGGGTTTATTCACAACAGAATAAATAGTATTTTCTGATTCAGTAGGCAGTGCTGGTGTCTGGTGTTCTCCTATTGTACTGTAGGTGGTGCAGGGGGGATTTTCCATTGTTTTCGGTGCCTGTAAGTGTGGGAATACAGATGAAGTAAACATGTATCAAGTGGAGTACATAGGAAGACAATGTATAACTGCTCTTTTTATGCTTCTTGCATAAAGTAAATGATTTCCTCTTGTTCTCACCTCATGTGTTGTGATTGTCTGACTGGTGTTCTGAGTTTGCTTGTGCTCTCCTGTAAGCCCATACACAGTCTGAGGCCCCTTTGATTTCTCCAACATCTCCAGAGGGCTTTTTACTTTATTTTTTGGCTGCAAAACAATTTAAGGAGTCATATCAATTGTACTGTACATGCTTAATTGTATTTATACTACAAGTGTAATAAGGGGGCAAACTAAGGGGAGCTAGGGGGACTAAGGGGGCTACGGCTCACCTAAATGAGGCATTTTTTGCGGGGGGTCAAAAAATATTGACTTTATTATTTTGACGTGGTTTCAGTATTGTGTGATGTAATCATGGATTATCATGTAAAAGTGCAAACATATCATTAATTCATGCATGGCGGCGATTTACACCTCACTAAAAATAAATAAATAAATAACTACATTTTCTATTCTTGTCATGTGCATCAAGGTGTGGGGGTGCTTAGGAGCAAAGTCCAGTTATGTCAAAGATGCTTCATGTACGTTGAGATACTGCTTATTCATATTTCAAAACACATGATGTGACGTTGTGTTTCATTTTACTTGCTTTATACAGTAGGCCAATACAATGTTCTTTTTTTAAATCACAGTGACATTGCTGTAAAAAGGTTAGACAATAAGCTAAAACATTGAACTATAGGCCTATGTAAAATAAAAAAGCATATGCTGTCCTTGGTGCCATCATCTTGAACTTAGAGCGAATAGAAAAATGATAGGTTACATGACGAAGTTATTAATAATAAACATATTTGTTTTGTTGATTTTAAATAATGTATTCTTTTGACAGTGCAGGTAAAATTAAACAACGATGATCGGTCATTGATTTATTTAGGCAGATCTATCATTTTTATATTTTCTTAATGTGAATTGTGTCACTTTCTTGTAGAACAATAAATTATAGACGTATAACAGACTCAAACTAACATCTAAATTTTTTTATTTTAATTCCACAGGACCTTTAAGCAAGTCTTGGCTTTAAAACAATGGTTTGTTGTATAAATCAAACATAATCAAATATGTAGAAACCTAATGTTGGGTAAATTGTTTACGTTCAATTTTGAGGATGTTTTTAAAACTGTTGGGGTTGGTCAATATTTGACCCAGCATTTTTAGTGTTTATTCCAGATTTATTTATGATGCTGCACAAAAATGATTTAAAGCTTACCTTAACTTGTGCATAGATGGTGTGATCAATCACTTGTTCTTCTAAGAGATTCAGAATAGAACAATTATAAGAATCCCGCAAAGTGTAAAAATAATATATATACAGTGCATGCGGAAAGTATTTATACCGCTTCACTTTTTCCACATCTGTTTATGTTACAGTCGTATTCCAAAATGGATTAAATTAATTTATTTCCTCAAAATTCTACACACAATACCCGATAATGACAATGTGAAAAAAGAGTTTTTTTTAAATTGTTGCAAATTTATTATAAAATAAAAAACCTGAAAAGTCACATGTACATAATTATTCACAGCCTTTGCTCATTACTTTGTTGATGCACCTTTGGCAGCAATTACAGCCTCAAGTCTTTGTGAATAAGATGCCACAAGCTTGGCACACCTGTCTATGGGAATTTTTGCCCATTCCTCCTTTCAGTACCTCTCAAGGTCTATCAGGTTAGATGGGAAGCGACGATGTACAGCCATTTTCAGATCTCTCCAGAAATGTTTAATAGGATTTAGGTCTGAACTCTTGCTGGGCCACTCAAGGACATTCACTGAGTTGTTGTAAAGCACTTCATCAATATTTTGGCGGTGTGCTTTGGTCAAGAGCACACTGAAGCAGGCTTTCATTCAGGATGTCTCTGTACGTTGCTGCATTCATCTTTCCCTCTTTCCTGACTAGTCTTCCTGCTGCTGAAAAACATCCCCACAGCATGATGCTGCCACCACCATGCTTCACTATAGGGATGGTATTAGCCTGGTGATGAGCGTTGCCTGGCGTTCACTCCAAAGAGTTTAATTTTAGTCTCATCAGACCAGAGAATTTGGTTTCTTATGGTCTGAGAGTCCTTCAGATGTCTTTTGGCAAATTCCAGGTGGGTAGTGGCTTCTGTCTGTCCACTCTAACATACAGGCCTGATTGGTGGATTGCTGCACAGATGGTTGTCTTTCTGTAAGGTTCTCCTCTCTCCACAGCCTTGTGTCTCGAGACAATCCCATCTTTGAGGTCTACAGACAATTCCTTTGTCTTCATGCTTGGTTTGTGCTTTGACATGCACTGTCAACCCTGGGACCTTATATAGACAAGTGTACGCCTTTTCAAATCATGTCCAATCAACTGAATTTACCACAGGTGAACTCCAGTTATGCTGCTGAAACATCTCAAGAATGATCAGTGGAAACAGAATGTACCTGAGCTCAATTTAGAGCTTCACGGCAAAGGCTGTGAATGCTGATGTACATGTGTTTTTTTAGGTTTTTTATATTTAATAAATTTGCAACAATTTTTTATGTATTGCGTGTAGAATTTTTAAGGAAATAAATTAAGTGATTCCATTTTGGAATAAGGCTGTGACATAAATAAATGTGGAAAAAGGGAAGCGATATGAATACTTTTCGGATGCACTGTAAAAAAAAAAAAAATATATATATATACACAGTGGTCCTTCGCTAAAATGCGGTTCACTTTTCGCTGCCTCACATTGTGTTCTGCATTCTGACTGGCTGTTGACCATTGTCAATCAATTTCTTCCATGCCGTGTCTCCTGTACAGTACAGAATACGTTCAGCCTGCCAAATTTACATAAATCATAGATCGCTAGCAGTTTTACTCTAAAGTGCTGCAGTGGTATGTTTGCAAGCGTCACAATGTTTGCACAATGTCAACAAAATGTTTGGCACCGTCAAAGCCACCTGCGGTAGCAGCCAAACAGCAGAGAAGGATGCTAACCATCACACAAAAAGTTGAAAGTGTGAAAATGTTAATGCCTGCCTAAGAAAAGTGTATTAAGAGTGTAGTGATGAGTTTTACAACCCTAAAACACCTATAATAATTAAAAGTAAAAAAAACAACAAAGCTGACTACTTCGCTGATGTCACCTATTGCGGTTTGTTTTTATAACGTAGCTTCCGCGAATAGCGAGGGACCACTGCATGTATCTTTTTTCATTTCATGCATACCCTTTTTATGCTTCTGGTAGTAGCAGAATGTTACAGAAACTGCTACCAAAACCACCGCTGCGACTCCAGCAGCGATGACCAAGAGCCAATAGAGAGGAAAAGAACTGTGTTGGTCAGAAGGCATTTCAGGAGGTTCTGTTGAAGTGAAATGTGACTGTCAACACAGTACTCCATTAAAGATACCTCTTAGTATTTTAAGTATAAGCAACTAAATATTTACGTGAAGGTGATTTACTGCTGGAGTTGTTGCTTTCTTGATGAGATGTGCAAAGCTGGTTCATCTCTATCGTGGCGTTCTTCCAGCTCACTGGGTTACTGAAATTACAAACAACCACATTCTCTATGCAATACAGGGTTAAAGTCTCCATTTTAGATGATGTTACTTCCTCCTGACTGCAGTTGTTGTTGTAGGATGTGTTGTTGAGTTGAAGGGTATGAGCACTACATGAGACGTCAACAATACAGGAGTTAACACTGATCATGATTGACTTGTCATGCAGAACAGGAGAATCCACTGCATCTGGAATATATTGAAGTTTGGCATTAAGAAGCAGGTTGAGAGGTTAGATGGACTTGTCAGTAAGCATGTTTTTAGAATAAAGGTGCTGAACTCTCTTGTGACCCAACAATCAGAACTTGATTGCAAGTTAAAGGAACAGTATGTCATTTGCCCACAGGTGGGCGTAGTTCACAATAAAGATGTATGGTGCATTACAAATGGTAAATATTGCCCTGTGAAGTGCACTTTGGCATGAAAACAAAAATGACTGGCATATAGAGTTCTGGAAAGTCTACGTCATGATGAGTTGCGGACGGCCGTGTTTGTGGACAAACGCAGGAGAGCACAATGTAAACCAATATAAATCACATCAGGAAAAAAAAACATGGTAACATCTTTTGAAAAACATTTTGCAACTGATGTGTACATAGCTTTATAAACACTTTTTGTGTGTCTGAGAAGCTGATGTTATGTATTCTATAACATTCTGCTTCTTCAGTTACACTTTACTACTGAAGACAGAGCATGAGCGCAGGTAGTGGATCAAATAAATGAACAAATTTATCCGTAACTGACTGGGTAGTGACGAGCTGCTGCAAGAAAATGTTTCCAGAGATGATTTTCTTCATTATTTTTCAAATGAGCGCTTAGTTTATTGCTGATCAGTGTATATCGGATGTTATAAATCAATAGAGATCATTGGGAATCAGGCTCCCTTGTCCTAAATACTCAGAATGCATTGCGCTGTTACGACACATTCTCATTCTCTATTGAAGTGTGAATGACTGTAGGATGACAAGCAAGTAAAATTATATACCCTGGCCAATATTTTGCTGCACAGTAAAAATTATATGATCAATTAGTCATGACAGCACATGTTTTTGGTTTATTGTAACTCATTAAACTAAGTTAATCATGTTCTAATAGAAGTGTCGATATTAATTGTTTCTTCGGTGCACCTCGATGCAGATGCAGATGCAGACGCAGACGCAGACAGTTCGGTATCTGTTCTGTGATGATCCTAATCGGTTATTGCGTAGCTGGTGTAATTTATCTCATAAGCTCTATATTGCGGTAGCTTACGAGGAGATTGCGAGTAATTAAAACGTTTTATCTGTTTTAAAAACACTGAAACTCTGCACACGTTTCCTCTTCTCCTTACAGTGATACTTGTGGATCACGAGCATGTCTGCAGAGTGAGTTTTCTCCATGGCGTCTATCAGGATCAGCTGTGATTGCCACTGCCATTTATCAGCGTCACTCATTAGTGAACAGCGCCAGAGCGTTAGAGCCAACCACAGCCTTTTCTGTTGAGCATGTGACCAATCATTGGCGTTTAACAACTTGCTTGATGCTCTAAAAGCAAACAGGATAATATTTACATTTGTTTATTTTTAAAAGCTCATGTTATTCTGTCCATTTAAGAGCAGGTTATTTCTTTGAGCAGGTCAAATTAAAGGTACAGTACATATATCTGACTGATTGTATTAAAAGACAAATTGTATTACAAACACACAGAATATGTATTATAAATGATGCACTTTAATACAGAAATTCTTATATATAATTACCATATTACTTATATTATAATATAAAATTGTTGTATGGAAGGCATTATTAATGCACTGTGATGCACCGGGGTATCGAATTGAACCGAATCGATGACATGATAATCGTAACCGAACGATAGACGAAAGTGTATGTTCTAACTTAATTTTACAGCTTTTTAAAATCAGTTTAACAATATAAGTTCAGTGAACTCGTAAGATTAATTTGATTCTACTCAAAAATTTAAGGCAACCGTAATTTTTTTTTTTACACAGTGGGAATTGTTTGCTATTCAAGTATTTCTACGTGTTGTTTGAGAAAAGATATACACCCTCATGACAATGGTGTTCCCTAATGAAATATGACTCTGCCAATGCACAAATCATTTATGGATGTTTTTTATTGACATTATTGTGTGATGTGGAAGTGTGCTTGTTTTTGCAATTGACTTAGAACTTCTGAAAATTGTATCCTATGGGAGAAATGACTAGGAATAATAAATGACAGAGAACGGTCAAACTTGCTCTACAAACAAGTGTTCATGGCTATACGCAAGTAGAATAATTCATTCATTCATTTATTTTGTTTTCAGCTTAGCCCCTTTATTAATTTGGGGTCGCCACAGTGGAACGAACAACCAACTTATCCAGCATATATAACGCAACAGATGCCCTTCCAGCTGCAACCCATCACTGGGAAACATCCATACATTCATTTACACACATACACTATGGACAATTTTAGCTTACCAAATTGCCCTACAGTATACTACATGTTTTTGGACTTGTGGGGGAAACCGGAGCACACGGATAAAACCCAAACCAATACAGGGAGAGCATGCAAACTTCACACAGAAATGACCCAGCTGGGGCTCGAACCAGCGACCCTCTTGCTGTGAGGTGATTGTGCTACCCACTGCGCCACCGTGCAGCCCCAAGTAGAATAATATAGCATGAAAATATCAGTTTGCAACATCAAGCAGCACAACACGCTGTTTTTAACATCTAAAAATCAATAGAAGTGAAGAAAACTGGAAGACATGAAGAATATA